GTTACTGTTGTTAACTAATTAGGCTTGTGGCTTGTCCCCACGTCAACAAGCCTCAAGGACCATCTTTCTGGCATGACTGAGCCTTTAAGGTGCCTGAAAACTATAACTGACATTAAAAAAAAAAAAAAAAATGCTTTGTGTCTGTTGTCTTCCTCAGAAACACCTGCTGTCCAAAGCTCATGCAGACTCTTCTGATAATACAGTAGTTCAATAACCACGGACGCCCACTTTGTTTGTTGTAGAGTCATCAGCGCATGTATCGCTTCCATGCCTATCAATAAATCTATCAATGTGAGTTTTGCATTACAGATGGCCAAAAGCAAGCCGTCATAATATCCAATACAGTTCGGAGTGTGGAACAGATGGGGCGGGTTGAGTGGGCCAAGTCATTGATTTGACCTTGAGATGGACAGCTGAAGTGAACTGAAATGGTTGCTGTAATATTATTGGAACTGAGGTTCCCAATCACAACACAGCCTTTGAAAACTGTTGTGTAATGTCTAAAAGGCAGGATGTCTGAAGTTCTGCTGCAGCAATTTTGACCTTGCAATAAAACTTCATGCAAGTACAAAACAAAATCACTGGAATTAGTCTTTAAAAGGGTAAATTCAAGAAGTTATGGAAAGGAACAGCAGTAAGAACTAAAGGTATTAAAAAAAATCATGAAGATAAATTACATCTGAGCAGCAAAACTGAAAACAAGAACCATTATCCACTGAGATGTTATTCCACTGGATGTGATATAATGGGCATTACTAGGTTATAAATACTTTATCCCTAATGTGAATTTAGAGGAAGATTGAAGAGATAAAAACCCCACAAACGCAAACGATTCTTATGATTTTTGCCATAATTTATGGCCTGCAACCATATTAACCGGTTCTATAGGGAAGCAAACAAAAGGCTGGAGGAGGAGAGAGGAGGCAGCACATCATGCTTCCCTCATGCCAGCCAGTATTATCCTGTGAGAGAGTGGTATCTCAGTCCCACGATTCTTAGCCTTCAATTCGTCTCCCTAACAGCAGGAGAAACCGTGACTTCGTCAATTGGCCCGCAGACAGGGGGAGGGCATATTGCCACAGACATTAACAAGCGACTTCACCTTTTTACAACCACGGCCCCGTTTAGCTGAAACGCTCCCCAGGGCTATTAGATATTTTCCGATGAATTATATATCAGAGCTGAAGATGAAAGGACTCTGCGTGAGCCAAGAACATAGCTGTGGGACTACATGGGGACCAGATACTCAAGGCCGGTTAGGCTGTTTGTTTTAGTGGGATCGCTGAGGGAAAATGGGAAAACTGCTCTTACAGTATAACTCTTTTAGTTCTCTAATGAGCAAAAATCAAATCACAATATTAACTAATTCTTCTAATTTTTTTCCCCTAAATGCGCCTCCATTTGTTTCCTTACTGACTTACTGTTTCCTTTATGAAATCACACAATGAGATCATATCCCATAAATACTGTAAATTATTTTCTATAGTGCAGAATCCGTGGATGGTCGTATTGATTTTAGTCTTGTCTAAGAACCCAACAGACTCACAGTCTGTTCATCTGGCATGTGGACTCCTAAGACTCCTAATTAGTTCTCTAACCTGCTGCTTGTTCGGGAGAACCAATCAAAACCTTCATTCAGGGCTGCCGAGGCCAAAGTTTTGTCAACATGGACTTAAACCAGTTAAAAAAAATAATTAATTTACACTGAGCCGGGACAATTGGGTTCAAGCAGAGTAAAAATTAGCGCTATTGATAATTCAGCAGGCGTTTTAGGCTGTTTAATTCCCAAAATGCAACGAGGTACCCCGGACACAAAAAGTGTTTCTGTTGTAACACAGAGTGTTTGATAAATTACACATCATTTTTAGGCTGCTGTTTTTTTTTTGCTTTAAATTAAGAAAAGAAAAGGCCCAGAGAAGAGGTGGTGGTGGGTGTGTGCGGCTTTACGGGCCACCCTTTAAATCTCCTCTATAGGGTTACACAGAATAAAACCGTGACAGATCCCCAACAAGTTATTTTCACGTCTCTACGAAACAGCTGAGGTTTCGCTTGCTCAGCTCATTTTGACAATTAAGGCCTAAGCTTTAATCTTCTGTTTCTTATTGTGAAAGTCTATATGTCAAAATCATTTGTCACTGAGCTCTATGCTCTGATTGGCTGGTCAACACCTTTACCGGCATCTCTAAACCTGAGAATAAAATGTTGAGGTAATTGCTGCTGAGAATAATATGCTTTAATATGCTCTTTGTTTTTAAATGCTAAAGAAATATATATTGAGCGGTGCTTTGGAGGTGATGTTGGTCACCATCAGGCCACTTCACTCCAGCTGCTGCATCCTTTCACACCTCTGCTCATCATATTTCCTCTCATTTCCATTGGCTGCAAAAAATAAAAAATCCACACAGTCTCTCTCTCTCTCTCTCTCTCTCTCTCTCTCTCTCTGCATAAATACTGAGCATCTCTTAGTATTATCCGCATCCAACAAGCTTACCCGGGAGGAAACTAATCAAAGCCACTAAGAACCACTCTGCACAGCCGAGAGGGCCGTTTAGAGAAAGCCCTTTTAAAAAAGCAACTGCAGTAAGTAATTTATTTTTAACGTTTATATTTTGTCGTGTCAGTGTATGTAAGCAAGACTCGTGGTTATGAGTTGCAAATAAATGAAAATGAAAGGAGAAGTAGTCAATCGGCCACCAGGAGCTGACTGCGGTGTAAATGCAAATAGCCTACAGGGAGGTAATTGGGGAGGCGTGCTGTAAAACTTTTCTCCCTCTCGCCTCTGTGGGCTGCAGGCTCGGAGCAAAGGGGCATTCAACCGATTAATAACAGGACGGTGGAGGAGTCCACAACTTCACATAATACACTCCAACTGCTGGATGTTTGACTATAGACTCTGGATGTATGCAGGCTTGTAGAGAAGGGAGGGTGAACACACCTCAAGTCAAGTTGAAGTTCAAATTGATTTGATGTTAAATCACATGCCGTATTAAATTCATAGTGAAGGATCTACTTTATCATCAAATTGGCAAGTGGAAAGTCTTTAAACAGAAAAAAATGTATTTGATGGTGTTATTTTAGAAAATAAAGCTCAATATTAATTGTGCAAATTTGCATAATAACTTGTATTTTTATTTATTGCTGAATTTTGAACACAGAAAATATCGAAATATGTATTACATTACACAATTAATGACAAGTGTTCACACAATGCAATGCAAATGTACAGGAGGTCACAATAGGTTGATAATATTAATAATGATAATAATAATGATAATAATAACAGTTTTAAAGGGCCATATGAACGTGCATGTGTCAGTTTAGGAAAGTGAGTTGTAGGGTCGGTTGTGCTGGGGTTGGGGGGTTGATTGGGGGGGGGGGGAGGGGGGGGGTTGGTTGTCTGGCAGTCAGCTGGTCTGATAAATACAATGCCAGTCTTTGTTTTATTTTCGTGACGCAGAAAATTAAGGAGGCCTGAATGCGGAGTCGTGGCTGGCGTCCTGTAATCAGGCCAGCGCGTGCCGTCCGGATTATCTCGTTAATTTCTTACAGAAAAGAAGAAGAAGAAAAAAAAAATCTCTTGTAGCCAATAATAATTAATGGCTGGGCAGGGTATTTATTATTGAACGGATGTGGAGCAACCGGTAGCCGGGGGTGCAAAAAAAGTGACAGATTGAGTATAGGAGTGGCCGTTATTGGCTCTTTAAAAACGAGGGGTAAGGTCTACAGAGAGGAGCACCCCAGGGTCCTGGGAACTTTATTCTACAGGTAGGTGTCACTGGACGTTAGGAGAGGCCTCAGACAGCAACATATGGTGTATAGACTAATTAGCTATTACAAAAAAAAATAAAAATAAAGGAAATATTAAGGCAAATAAAACACTGGAATTTTGTTTTAAGATTAGTATATGTGTTCAATATATTATCTCTAAGAAGGGCCTCTTCCTCTACAGAAACAAAAATATAATAGATTTAATATAGCATTATAATTCCTTGGTTGTTTCTGTAATTATATTATATTATATTATATTATATTATATTATTCATGCATATGTCAATATGTCATCTCCAATGATAAACCTACACACAATATTGTTGTGTATCTCTGTAAATGCATTTAGGATACATTTGTCACTGTAAAAGTTTCAATAATTTGTCTGAATTGTCGCTCAGTTATTTTAATAAGATGTTTGTAGACCTCGTTTAGATAAAGTGGTCCTTTCACCATCAGGGCAACATTTCAAAGTAAAATATGGGACTGAGATTAACGGTAAAACTTTTTCCCTCCACAATACCTGAAGATAAATTTAGTGGGCCATCTCCTTGTTTGTTTAGATTAAGATTAACTGCTCCTCTCTAATCAACACTTTTCGATAGTCTCACCTTCCAAATCTAATTATCGGGAGCAATTCATTAGGAAAGGAGGGGGACTCGCCCCGAGGAGTATCAATAATGTGTCAGAATTCCCTTTGGGGGAATGCCTCCATGTTTCTAATTATTTGCTAAAGTTTTCCTTCGTATTTTAATGTGGTGACATTTGAATGTACAAGGGTTTTAGAGGAAACAAACAATAGGCTCAAGATATAGAAATGAAGATGCCCAGTTGTATTTGAATGAGCGCACAGTTTGCAGTATTGGCTTCTTTGTTTGTTCCCTAAAGTCTTTTGTTATCAGCATTACTTATCGGTCCACAGTGGGCTTTGTTTCTGCAAATGGCCCCCCAATCAGCTGTCTATTTAGCTTTGCCTAACCTGTGGGTATATGCTAATTGAGTTCCCGGTTGGGGCCCAACGAGTGTGTGCATTTTAACGACAATGTTTTGTTTTGGTGGTACTAGGAGAGGAGTGTGTTTGGGGAAGAGGGGGGTGATAAGGGGCGGGGTTATAGTAGCAGTTAGTGAGTGTGTGTGTGTGTGTGTGTGTGTGTGTGTGTGTGTGTGTGTGTGTGTGTGTGTGTGCGCGCGGTGGGGAGGGGGGGGTGGTGATGGCGTAAACGCCTGTCAGCCAGACAGAGCATCCTCAGTCCAGCAGGGGACAGCTGGGGGTCTCCACTCGCCTTTAAGAGCCCTGCGAGTCCAAGGACGCCCACTTCTTCAAACCCACCGCGGTGCGTAAAGGCTGCGCGTAAAAATCAGCGGACACAGTCGGTTCGAAACGACCTTAAAACCTTCCTGTTTATGTGTGTGTCCCGCTTCAGGTTGATCCAGACGAGGAGAAATACCAAACGGAGACGCGAGAGGATTAAAAGACAATTTTCTGCCCTATTTTTTCGTATTTCTTCTGATTGGTGCCCCCTCGCCCGGCCGCCAGCATGATGTCCTATTTGAAGCAGCCGCCGTACACGGTGAACGGTCTGAGCTTATCTACCTCAGGAGTGGACCTGCTGCATCCTTCAGTGGGATACCAAGGTAATATAGCCCACCCCAGGGTGCAACTATGTAGAGAGGCAAATAAAAAGCCTGTTCGGATGCTTTACGTCTAGGTTATTAAATAATCTGAAAATGAGGCTGATTTGCAATCATTTGCAACTTATTTTCACATTTCCATTAACAACTGAATGATGTGTATTTGTATTTATCAGAACATCATCAAACAGAGTATTGAGACACAGCCAAGGCCTCATTAGATCAATTAAAACCTCTATTTTAATTATTAAACATGATTATCCTCTATAAACTAGGCTCATATATCTGAGATTATATTTGATAGTTAGCTAATTAAGTTAAAGAAGTTAAACATCAAGCTGTATTATTTCGTTTTTTTTATTTCCATAAACATTGTTCCCCCCCTCTTCTCACCAGGTGCCCCTCGCAAACAGAGGAGAGAGAGGACGACCTTCACTCGGGCCCAGCTCGACGTTCTGGAGAACCTATTCGGCAAGACTCGGTATCCTGACATCTTCATGAGAGAGGAGGTGGCCTTAAAGATCAACCTGCCCGAATCCCGAGTGCAGGTGAGTCTCCAGCACCAAAACCTCAACCACACACTTTATTCATGTAAGCTCGATAACTAGTCATTTGTCTCTGAGAGGCGAGACACTTCAGGACTAAGTGTCCTCTTTATTGTAGGAGAAGTGTTTTATACCAGTCACCTCTTGAAACTCTGATATTAAGTTATAAACTCGCATTATAAGTCAAGTTTATGTATAGTTTGTATAAATGTAAAGCTTGTAAGACAATATTAGAAAAGCATGAATATAATGGTTATAGGCCTACAATATTCTCTGAGATCATTGGAATATTTAACTTAGCCCACATTTTTTAATGACTATTAAGAATACATGTGGTGTGTACATATAAAAAAACAAAACAAAAAAATTATTCCAATGTCATGTGCTAAATTAACTTAATTTAAACGCATTTTTCTTCCAGGTATGGTTCAAAAACCGACGCGCCAAGCATCGGCAGCAGGCCCAACAAACCCAAAGTGGAGTGCAGAACAAGGCTGTCAGCAAGCCGGTGAAAAAGAAAGGCTCTCCGATCCGAGAGGCCAGCTCAGAGAGCGGTGCCAGCGGCCAGTTCACGCCGCCCTCCAGTACCACACTCCCGGCTGTGAGCAGCAGCGCGGCGCCGGTGTCTATCTGGAGCCCGGCCTCCATCTCCCCTCTCTCCGACCCGCTGTCTACCTCCTCCTCCTCCTGCATGCAGCGCTCGTATCCCATGACATACACCCAGGCGTCGGGCTACAACCAGGGCTACACGGGCTCCTCGTCCTACTTCACCGGGATGGACTGCGGCTCCTACCTTTCGCCTATGCACCACCAGCTATCCGCCGCGGGCTCCGCCATGAGCCCCATGGGCAGCAACGGGGTCTCCAGCCACCTGAGCCCCGCGTCTTCCCTCTCCTCGTCGGCGTACGGGACGGCGGGGCTGGGCTTCAGCGGCGCCGCGGACTGCCTGGACTATAAGGACCAAACAGCCTCCTCATGGAAGCTCAATTTCAACGCGGACTGTTTGGATTATAAAGACCAAGCAGCGTGGAAATTTCAAGTGTTGTGAGAGGAGAGAACTAAAGGGACAATTTTGACTTAACTGCAGACTGAACAGGCAAATTAAAAACCCAAGGCTGGGAGCAGCAAGTGCGGCGTTTTTCTACATATAACAGGCCCCAGCTTCTACCTCGGGCAGAGCAGAACAGGACTGCCAGCCGGTTGTCTCACTTGTTGGGTTAATTTATTGAACATTCAGACTGACTTCTCCCCAACTTTGATCAAGGACACGGAACAAATGTGTTGACCAAAAGGAGAAAAAAAAGGGTCAAAAGAGTGAAAGATCCAAGCCTAACTTGGTTGAGTTTGAGGAATAGGTCAGGTTTTCTTCTAAGCTCCTTAAAGACTCCCCTCTCTTGTCTTTTTTTAATTGTGTTGGCACGCTGAAGGGCCCCTTTGATCAAAGCGTTGTGGATGAGCGTGTGTGTGTGTGTGTGTGTGTGTGTGTGTGAGTGTGTGTGTGTGTGTGTGTGTGTGTGTGTGTGTGTGTGTGTGTGTGTGTGTGTGTGTGTGTGTGTGTGTGTGTGTGTGTTTGAGAGAGAGAGCAGCTCTGACATGAACCTGGATGCACTATTAATTTATGACAAATATGTTTAAGACTAGTTATAAGAGACAATCAGTCCGTTTGCGTGTGCTCATAAATGTCCCTTATGTGTTTTTGAATTATTTCCCCCCTGTGTTAGATTTCTTTTTTAAATTGTGATTCTTTGTACCACCTGTATGCAATTTTTCTTTGCGCCTTACGTGCGCCACAAACCCAGCTGTGAATTTGATAGATTTATTTTCATGTCTCCAGTGTTAATGGTAAATTATTATAAGGACATATTAGTTGAATGAAATAGGGATTGAAATCAAGCCAGCAGCGAGCAAGGTCCATTTGAGCTGTAAAGTGCGGTGAGAAGGCCACAAACACACTAAATAACAATAAAGTTCACTTGACCTGACCCAATACTGTGGCTGCATGTCTAAATCCTTCTGTTTATCCTCTGTGTTTATCCCAGTTTTTATCACCTGCCCCTGCACACAAACACACCACGTTGTCAACAGGCCAATCGATCTCAATTACCAATATGTTTTTTTAGAGTTATTTACACTTTTTGGTTGGAAATAAATCTACATTAAAAGTGTCAGTAGTGCCGGATTTCATCAACTTTTTTTTAGATTTCTACTCGTACAGCACTAGTCCATGATTCCTGCCCAGGCTGGGAGGAATGTGAATTATGGGAGAGCTATGTTAATCCCGTCTCATAAAGAGGATAATCCAACATTTTTATTGACGGCTGCTCTTTGGTCCGGGGCGCACCGCTGGCCAGTTCACACGGAGAACTGCGAAATGAGCTCTGCTGCTCAAGAGTCCAGAGGCAAACATTGGTTTAAAGACGGGTTATACGCAAAAGAAACAGGCAGACAGGGAAGTGGACGTGGAGACTTTAACTCAAATTTGTGATCCCAGAGGTGGGTAAACTGTAGGTAGAAAATATAAAGAATAAACATCACCAATTAAGTGGTCAGTTAGAGGAAGAAGCTGTCAGATATTACAGCAGAGACACTGAATTATTGCACCACGGATATAGATTATGTGGCTAATGTCAATATTCAGTTGTCTTTTGATCCACAGATGATGAAGGAAGCTTTTTATTCCCTGTAATACAACAGTCTCCATCAGAATCAGTGTATGCAGGCATCTGTTGCAGGCATTGTGATTAGTCCTACTGCACGCATGGATAAAACCCATGCATCCTCTGTGGGGGTTTAAAGAGAGAGAGAGAGAGTATATGAGCAGGTCCAGGGGCTCGTGCGTGGATTAAAGAAGAAGTGGCTCGTGTTATCGGTCTAATTAGGATGTGACAGGAGATGATGAAGCTTCTTATAACGCTGGCGTGACTTTCTGCTGCCGTTCAAGCGCTTTGTTGCCCGTTTGACCCCCAATTAGCGGCGAATGACACACACACAATTACAGAGCCACAACCAGCCGACTGTTGTCTGGGGTGCAGCCGTGATACAGTGAGCCTGTTAGATGTTTTTATTTTTAGGGATAGCACTGGATAATGTGCTTTTAATCGATTCAATGTGCGTGGAGCAGGCACACACCTCAACGTGTATCCGATACCTAAAATGATCTCAAATTAAAGATTAATTAAGGTAAAATTAATAATTAAATAAGACACACAAAAATAATACGAGTGATGGAGAACATAATAATTCCTATTGAAAATAAATTATATAATCTGAGCTTTATTTGCTATAATTGATGGGGGAAATCCTTCATTTCCATCCAGTGGTTCTAGATGAATAAAACAGGTAAAACAATGTGTCAATAAAGATTAGAAATTTAGATTTGATTTTTTACAAGCTCTGTGATGAAAAATCTCAATCAAATAAAAACCGTGAATAAACTGATAGTTTGGCCTATAGGTTATATTTTTGGTCCCTGTTACAGTAGTCTCCTAAATATTTTCTTTCCTGATCCCGGAGTCATATCCAAAGCTTCAACAGGTTCAATAATAAATGTCAGCAGAGAGCAGTAAGTCAGTCCTCCTGTACTTGGAGGACCAGGGGCCCCCGAGTATCCATTCGGTTTTAATTAAGCACAAGCGGCACTAAAGGGGACATATGGGTCCGGCAGACGCGCTTCATTAATCCTCTCTTCGCATTTGAGGATGTTAAACAATAAAAAAGAGCCTCGGAAGCCTCTTCTTGGCCGAGGCCACCGCACATTTTGTCGACCGTCGCCCTGAGGCAAGGCTTTCCCCAAGCGGCACCACTTCACCGCGGCCAGGGATTTCCAGGTTTCCCCGCCGGCGGAGAGGAGATCCGACCGACGCAGGAGGGTCGTCTCGATCCGGGTCCACAGCGGCCCTGAGCCCAAATACTCATTACTGAGACACTTTACTCCTGTTCTACAATGAGGTCCTTATGATAAAATTTACCTACTTAAAATAGTTTTTTTTATTTAGCCTCCCACTTGGGCTTTTAAACCTTTGCTGCTGTTACAACACTGTAATTCCCCATCATAACAAAGTACAGACAACATGATTTCAGTAGACTGATAAAGATTAATAATTGTATTTGGCAGTACCATCTATTGGCAAAGATATAGGACTAGACCTATGTCTCTTTATATATTATATCTATAATAATAATAATAATAATAATAATAATAATACAATCATTATCTGGAAATATTCTAGCTCTCAATAGTCCATATTTTATTTTACTGCTAATTAAGAAAGTTAGATTTTTGTTATCTTTTTTAGACCCAAACTCACTATAACATCACTCAATGTGCCTGTCAAATCAGCAATAAAATAAAATCACATCAGCCTTTTCAAAAACCACAGGCATGTCTGAACACCTAAATCCAACTACATCCGTATTAGTAATGGTTGATTTAGATGTGAACATCATTCAGATTGGCTTGTATCAACTTAAAAAAAACCATATCATGCATCCTGTTATTGTATTCAGCTTATGGACGGTGGTTGTTGTTTGAGGCAGACCAATACAAGGGGCCTGGGGATAAACCAATATGTCAATTATTGTCTGGAGGGAGGAAAGGCTTGACATGAAACATCAAGAAATGTTTGTGATGAACAATTCGTGATTTAAACAAGCCTATCAGGGCTCATTTAAATAGGCTAATGCTGTTATCAGCTGTACAATGTCACTGACAGGCATATGACTTCGTTTTTTTTAAGAAGAAAGAATTAGTGAAAGTAGTGTGTCAACAGGGCAACAGCTGAATACAGTAACTGCCATTTGGTAAAGTGGGATATGGACCTGATTTTTCCGGACAGCAGTTGCCTAAAATAAGCACAAGATGAACTGAATATAGTTTCTTTTATGAAGAAAAGAACCTGGGTGATAAACGGCCAATTTGTTGGTGAGAATATAACTGAAGACTATTGTTATGCATAAGTATGTGTCCTACATTCCCCGAGAGACGATGTCTATCACATATCAACACAGCAACACATACATAATTCATCTGCAACAACAACAGTTGTGGAATCTCATTTAAATGAATAAAACAATAGTGTTTCTGTACTCCTGTCAGACTGGCGGTTGAGCAATATGGTAAATGGTTAAGAGTACACAGCCTTAACTCTTCATGACCCTCTCTATCTGTTAAGCCATGTAATGTTTAGAGTGATTTCATCTCATGGATTACACAATTTGATGAGATTAAACTCAATTCTATCAGATGCACACGCTAAATGTTGCCATGTGATGTTTTAATGAGACTTAAAGCAACGCAAAATGTTCTTTAAATTGCTCCAAACACTCAACTAGGGGTTAACTTAAAAGTAGATGCAGCTGCAGTCGTGTTAATTTTCTAGGCTTTCAGTTACAGCTCCTGTTTAATGGTGTAAATGCACACTAAAATCTAACAGAGAACAGAATGGAACCTGGTATATATGGTCTTTCTGTTTCTATTCTCTATATCTGAGACTGTGAGCAAATGCACCAAACTGACCAGAAGCATTTTTTGTTTATAAAATCTGAACCTGATTTGACATGTAGGCTATTTACAATGCTATAGCTCGTAAATTGAGTTGTCCCAGATAAATTCCAGGGATGCCACAGGGTTGTTGATGAAGGCAGCACTTGCTCAAAGATGACTTATTAGGTTCTAATGCAAAACATTGTCTGCACATTTGGACATTTCTTGAAATAGCTTGAATTGGCATGCAAAAGTGAAGCAGAGCTCTTAGAAAAGGTGTTTTTGCAGTTGTGGTGGAATAAGTACTTCACAATTACTCATTTTAATGATCAGTATTATACATTTTTATTATGTTTTTTGAAGAGGCCATTGCAGGTCCATTGTGTCATCAAACAGATCACAAGTGATACCATATGAAGTCAAAGTTTTCCTTGTTTAACAAAGCTATATAAAATTGTTAATCATGCTTAGATATAAAACACTGCTGGACAACACAAGTCTACCACTGAATGTGTCAGATTTTGTCAGGTGCCTGTGGAGAGTTTGATGTTATTGTGAATAAATGTAGGAGGGAGTGTGGCATGTTTGTTACAAGGTGTGTTTGGCTCTCTTTCAATTTACGATGGAAATTGCTGCAGAAAATGCTGACTAACTGGACCTCCTGAGTGCTCCTCCAATAATAATAGCTGCTTTCACCTTCTGTTGATGCTATTTTTGTATCGCAACCATGGCACACTGCATGCATGCTTTTAATTTTCTTGTGTGGAGAGAGGACACACCAAACACAAAATATTTTACATTTATAACTTTCTCTGAGAGTGTTTGATTATCATGTTAGCATGTTGTACACTGGTGAAGGCCACAGTCTATAATGTGTGTATTCTTTATTCTTAAGTCATTTTAAAATCTATAAAATGCTGTTTGATTGATCAAAAAAAAAAAAAAAAAAAAACCTGCAGGCTAAAAAAACCCTTTAGATGCCACAATGAGCACAACCCTGCTCTAAAATCATCTAAAAATGTATCTGATTTCTATCATAATCTGTAGGCCTACATTAATCTCAACCAATAATAACTCAATTTATGTAGAATTAACTGATTTTCAACACTTGAGCCTGTTATGAATGTATGCAAACCTCTTATAAAGAAAACATTAGTGAAATGTTAAACTAAATGACATTTGAGTGTTGCTAGGATTTGAGCTGGGTGTCTCCACCATATGGCTGGAGTAACGTATATGTGAGCCAAAATTATTAATAATGCTTAGATATTGTTATTGGAGGAAATACTCTGTGAAACACATATGTTGCACTCGCACACACACAGACATAAAGCAGAAAGCTGATTACAGGTTTAAAGAAAATCCAGCATATGTAAAAACATGAATTGCCATCAGAGAATTAATGCTTCATATAAAGTTAATTCCTAATGTTTCTTTCTTTCTTTTTTTTTATAGCATCCATTTAGCTGCAGGACTTTACAACCCTGGATTATGTCAGCAGTGGA